CTGCTATTTTTGTTGTTAAGTGCCATCAAGTCAGTTCCTACTCATAGCAAACCTGCATAGCATTTCTGAGGAGTGGACGGTGGGTTTGAACGGACACACCAGCATTCAGAACCAACAACTATTTGCAGCAAATTCTGCCTCATAATCACCTCACTTGCTGCACATGCAACATTTAAATAACTAAGACAGTTTTACACCTTTCCTTGCCCTAAACTAAGACTAAATAAGAACCTTTTGCACCTGTTACAATTTAGCTACAAATTCTTAAAGACACAGGAGCGGGTCTTATTTGTAACCTGGGAACTGCCTGTACTGATAGACAAGGACAAAGTTTCACAATATATTTGAGCTCTAGTGCATTTACTATTTGGTTCAATGCCTTTACAACATCAAAAACAAAACTTGGCTGAAGCAAGAACATTATCCCAGAGTGTCAGTATTTTTCCACTTTCAGGAACAAGCCAGCAAAATCAATCATTATCTGCTCCCAACTTTTTTTTTTGTTTTTTTTTAAATAATTTAAAGCTGACAAATGCAGAACCAAAATGCAATGGAGGGTTAGGGTCACGATGAGGCGAGCAAAACTCAGGATCTCCGTCTTCTAGAATTTATTCCAGAAGCTTCTTTAGTTACTAGTGTATTCTTGATGAAAAGACTATATTCTGTAAGAGATTCAAATATGGCTTTTTGGCTCTATATAAAAAGCCAGCTATAAACCTAAACCTCAAGCCTCCTTAAACTGGCTCCTAAGACCTTGTTTTCGTGGGTTTTGGAAAACATTTCTGTACAGGAGGCTACTAAGACAAACCAGCAAGAAGAATATCCGATTACAAGTTCCTCCAGGAAGAGGAGCAAAGGCCTTTGTACAGCATCCCCTACAGCTAACAAATCAACATTCAATAAACACCCATTGAATAACACACTATCTCAAATGCTTCCTGTTGTTATGAAAAACAAAGCTATATTTTGGATTCTTTACTATTTTAGCTTTCAGTGGCAACTGGAAGTTCTTTATGAACAAATATTGGTTGCCATCATTCTAATTCTGCCAAATTCATTTTCTACATAGGAAAACTAAAGCCCAGAGCAGCTGAGTGACAAGTGATGGGAGAGAAATGGGTCTACAGACTCACTCTGTGCATAGACCCATACCCCACCCCCTTCACCTTTTCTCTCTTGGAAATAGGACACTAGTGACTAAAGTTCAGTTACCAACTAATTTTCTTTGGAACACAATTAATTTTAACATCTACTACCTAGTAGCTAAGATTTCAGAAAGCTTAGTTAAGATGAAAATAAACAGTAATCTACCTTTAACAAAGGTCAAAATTCATTCAATACAGAAGAGACAGACTGTTTAACAAAGGCTGCTGGCCAAACCGGATACCCATTTGCAGAAAAATGAAACAGGATCCATACAACACACAAAAACCAGCTCAAATTAGATCAAAGAGCTAAATGTTAAAACTATAATCTTCCTGGAAGATAACACAGGGATAAAGCTAAGGGTCCTCATATTTTGGCATAAACGCACTTCCAAACACAAGTAAAAATACACAAACAACAGGAAGAGGTACCTCTTAAAAATTAAATACCTATGCTCATTAGAAGACTTTACCCAAAGAGTCAAAAGAGAAGCAATAGGCTAGGGAAAAAATGTTGGTAATGACACATTTGATCAAAGGTCTAATCTCTAAAATATATAGGAAGCTTCAGCAACTCAACCTCAAAATGATAAACAATTCAATCAAAACATGGGCAATGAACATGGGCACCTTCACCAAAGAGGATATTCAGGGGGCTAACAAACACATAAGAGACGCTTGTGATCCTTAGCCATTAGTTACAAATCAAAACAACAAGGAGATACCATCCCCCTGCTGAAAAACTAGCACTGATCAGAAAAACAACAAATACTGGCAAGATTGTGGGGAGACTGGGACTTTTTTTTGTATAAGCAGACGTAGGAGTAGAGTTACAGTTAGGGTTAGAACTATGGGTAGGTCGAGGGTTTCATGTAGTGTTAAGGACTGAGGGCAGGGGTAGAAGCTGGGCTAGAGCTAGGAGTCGGGATTGGGTGAGCTTTAGGGTTACAGTGAAGCTTATTTTTATTTATTTAAATTTAATTGATTTCCTCTTCATTTGGAAGTTCAATAACTACACTATTCCTCTTTTTTACTGTATGGTTATTTTTGTTGCAAACTGATAACTCTAGTTCCCTATTTTCTGTCTTGTAGATTTGTTTTACTTTGGGTACTTCTTATATCTGGGTTGAGTTCTGGGAGATAGTGTCATGTATGTTCATCTCAGGTGGGTGATCTCTGTTGTCAGTTCTGTTCAAAGAACGCTCCTTAGCAGTCTTTGTAAGGTTGATCTGCTTTTCACAAATTCCCCTATTTTCTGTTTATCCAGAAACATCTCAATTTCACTGCCAGATTTGAGGAACAATCCTGCTGGATATACAATTCTTGGGTGGAAACTGTCTTCTTTTAGAATTTTATAGGAAGATATATATAAAACTCTGAGAGAGATTGTAAGTCTTACACACTGCTGATGGTATTGTAAAATGGATCAATCACTATCGAAAACTGTATAACGCTTCTTTAAAAAGCTAGACATAGAAATACTCTATGCTCCATTTAGGAAACCTGGTGGCACAATGGATTAAATATTGCACTGTTAACTTCAAGGCTGGCTGTTCAAACCAACCAGCATAAGAAAAAAGTGAAATGTTCTGCTCCTGTAAAAATTTACAGTTTCAGAAACCACATAGAGCAGTTCTACTCTGTCCTATAAGATTGCTACAAGTTAGAATCAACTCGGTGGCCATGATTTTTCTTTTTTTTTGTTTTAGTTTAAGATCCAGTAATTCCACTCCTAGGTATATATCCTGGAGCTATAAGAGCAGAGACACAAACATATGCACATGCATGTTCATTTCACCATTATGCATGATAGCAAGAAGATGGAAACAACCTAAGTGTTCATCAATGGATGAAATGGATAAACAAACTGCACATTTACAGAATGGAATTTTATGAAACTATAAAGAACAATGAAGATGAAAAGAACAAAAGATGAAAACATCTTGTAACATGGATGAATCTGGAGGATATTAAGTAAGTTAAACACTAACAGATGGCTATTCCATAATACCATTTTATGAAGTCAAGAGTAGGTATCACATAGAAAGCAACAATTCTTTATGGTTCTCAGAGATGCAAGGGAGATAGAGAGAGATCACTTACTAGATACTATACACGTTAATTCTGGTGATAAGGAAGACAATATACAATATGGGGGGAAGTCAGCACAATTTGATCAAGGTAAATGAAGACCCAAGAGAAAAGGGCAACTGAAGTAAATGCTCTAACCTACTATTTTTCAACAACAGTAAAAACAAGCAAAAAATATGTGAGTGGTTACATGGGTAGGTATGTATACTGTATGGACGTGGGAAGTCAAACATGCACATAAGTGTATAGGCATATTTGTGGGTTGTTGTTGTTGTTTAGTGCCAGCATATGGGTTCCAACTCATAGCGACCCTGTATAGGGTTTCCAAAGAGCGGCTGGTGGGTTTGAACTGCTGACCCTGTAGTTAGTAGTCCAGTGCTTATCCTATGGCACCACACCAGTACTCCTATTTGTGGACATAAATATAGATTTATATATACAATAAGACACATGGGAACACAGTTATGGATATTTTCTTGACATACACAAACTCCTAATTGTACTGACTTACCATAGTCTTGTCCTGAGACAATTAAGTAACCTGACAATAATTTAGTCCATAAACATAATGTTCTAGATCCTAGTTTGGTGACTAGCATCTGGTGTCTTAAAAGCTTATAAGTTGACATCTAAGATACAGCTGTTGGTCTCTTCCTATCTGGAGCAAAGGAGTGTGAGAGAAATGACAGACTCAAGGAATAAATTACAAATTAGTCCACAGGACTAACGGCTGATGCAAACCATAGCTTCCTCTAAGCTGAGACCCAAAGAACTAGAGGGTACCTGACTACCATTACTGACCAAGTATACAATAGAAGATCGTGGTTAGAGGAAGAAAAACATAAAAACTTCACATTCATAAAATAGACCAAACTGAGTAGACTGATGGAGACTAGGGGAACCCCTAAGACAATCACCCTAAGCTACTCTTTTAATTTAGAACTGAAGTTACTCCCAGAGGTCACCTTTCAGCCAAATAATCAATTGGCCTAGAGAATAAACAACATTCCTGAGGAATGCACTCCTTTAAACAATCAACTATATGAAAGCAAATGGTCAATATTTGCCCAAAAGCAAAGATGAAAAGACAAGAAGGGACAGGGAACCAGGAAAGATGGAAATGGGGCAGGTGGGGTGGAAAGGGTGAGAGTGCAGATTCATTGTTGGGACTGTAACAGAATGACATTGTAAGAATTGTTGACTGGGAATTTATTTTGCTGAGCAAATCTTCCCTAAAACACTACTATATATATATATATATAAGGTTAATGCTCTGGACTGCAAGGTTGGTTTGAACTGCAAGGTTGGCAGTTCAAGCTCACCAGCTACTCCTTGGAAACCCTAGACAGGGTCGTTTGAGTTGGAACAGACTCGACAGCACTTAACAACGACAACAAACAATAAATATCTATTTTTAGAATACAGACGTGTACTCAGATTACCATACATATGATATGTATGTGTGTATGTATGTATATATGATATATATATATATGTATTATGTATGTATGTATGTATATATGTTGTTAAGTGCCATCAAGTTGGTTCTGATTCATACTGACCCTGTATAGGGTTTCTGAGGAGTAGCTGGTGAGCCTGAACTGCCGACATTGCAGATCAAACCAACCTTGCAGTCCAGTATTAACCCGCAGTACTATACCAGGACCTATCAGGGAACTCCATTTGTAAGATACTGAACTTAGAAGATCCAGTTCTAGAGCCAGAAAATTTACCCCAATCAGAAAATCCAGTGCATTCACGTACCGGCCGTCCGTGGATACTTTCATAATATAACAGTGCTTTTTGCAGGGCCACTTTCTCGTTAGCAATCTGGTCTTTGGTCATATCCTGTGTAAATGCCAGGACACCAAAAGGAAAGAGAGGAAAACACTTGTTAATATTCCAGCATTGCTATTTCGTTAAAAAAGTGTCTTTAAAAAATGTTAAAAAACAAAAAAATTCTCATAGTCACAGCTCTCTCCACCTAAATCCAAAGCTAATAGAGAAATTAGTTATTATAAGGGAGCATCAAAAAGTTTTGGAAAAATGAAATTCAAAGATAATGGAAGTTTCCCATGAACTTTTTGAAGCTTGTATGAGTGCCTCTGGCTCACAATATGGATAGCCCAGCAGAGTCAGCATCGGCTGCTGATATCCCCCTCACAGCAGTAAAGGCGAGTCCAGAACTGAGAAAAGCAAGGCTACAAGGCACCTGAGGCTTAAGTTAATGGCCTAGGCCATGACTACTGTGTGAAATTATTCAGCCCCAAAGGTTTGTCTATAACCCTACCTCAGAGACTCACTAAAACATCTATTCAACTAAACAAGTCCATTCTGCAATACATAGAGTTTTCTGCTTTAAACTTGTAGTCAAAAACCAAAGTACCCACAGTCAAAAGGCAAACAAAAGTTATTTAATCTACTTCTCTAGACATCTAAAAGTATTGGGTTTAAGGGGTGGGAAGCTTCAGTGACATCAGTGCATTACCCTTCCCTTTGGGATTCATGGGACATGGCCTAAGTGTCTAACAGTGTTGGTTTAGGGTCAGCAGTCCGCTCAGGTTCTTCATAGACTCATCGCACCTTAATGTCATCTGGACGGCTGGTTTCTGCCCGCTTCTCCTGGAGCTTCCTCTGGATGGATTCCAGGGTGATTTCAACACTAGGCTTGATAGCTTTATCTATCAGTTCTTGCTTCTTCTCATCTTCTTTCTCAAGTTGGGAGCCAAAACTCTTAGGGAGCGTATTACTCCGCTGCCGCATCCTGGGGGTCAGGTCCTCTTCAGATATCTTAAGTTTTGACTCTAGTTGAAAAGATTTGAGGGTAGAGAGGTATATGAGAATTGTCTACTGAACCCAATTGTTTTTCTGTGGTGTCAATAACTGCTTAGCCTTACTCATCTTTTTTTCCAGAGAGCATTCAATTATTACAACATCAGTAGAAATCCCTTGGTCACTGTGTAAAACCTGAGCAATGGCAGTATCTTCTTTGTGTTTCCCTATCCCTAACACTTGAGATGCCCAAACTTCATCTCTCATACTTCAGACCTATTGTCAGAAGGGGCCAGTCGCTGGAGAAGGACATCATGTTTGTTAAGGTGGAGGGTCAGAGAATAATGAGATGGCCTGGCCAAGTGGCAGCATCAATGGACTCAAGCGTGGCAACAATAGTGAGGTTGGCCCAGGATCGGGCAGTGTTTCATTCTGCTGTGCATAAGGTGCTATGACTCGGTAAGGACTCGATGGCCACTAACAACAACAACACTTGAGAAAGCTTTCCTTATTTTAGCATCTATTATTACTCACATTAATCTGTTTGCTGTTCTCAGAATACTGCAGATGTGTTCCTATGCTTGTTCCCTTAAGTCTTAAAAAGCATTTAGGAATCAAATGCTCAGTTTTGGCCAACTTTCCCTGTATGAAATTATCTTCAAATGATTTTTGCTTTGGATTCTATGTAATTGTTTCTATCACTCTATCCCCTGAACAATAGCAACTTCTTTGAGGGACACGGACTAAACTATTTTCAGATTTTCTCTATATGAGGGGGGCTTCAAACAGTTTTTAGAAAATTCCATTCTCTTTTAATTCCATGAACTTTTTGGAGGCCCCTCATCTATCTGGAGTCCTGGCGTGGCGCTGTGGGTTAACGCGCCAGACTGCAAAGCCATTTGAACCGCAAGGTTGGTGGCTGAAGCTCACCAGCTGCTCTTAGGAAACCCTATACAGGGTCGCTATGGGTTGAAATCCACTCTGTGGCACTTAACAACAACAGCAACAACAACAATGTGTCTCCATGTCTTTTCTCTTCTAACACCAAGTGAATGGAGCCTTGCATTAAATGGGCATTTAGTAAGTGGTGATTTGAAACCTGCATTATTATGTTAATGATTTGAGGAAATGGTAAACATGCTGCAAGGAGCCCTGGTGGTACGGTGGCTTATGCATAATTGAAAGGTCAGTAGTTAGAACCCACCACCTCTCCCACAAGAGAGAAATGGGGCAGTCAGCTCCCCTAGAGATTTATAATCTCAGAAAGCACATGGAGCAGTTCTGCTCTGTCTTGTAAGGTCAGATACCTATGAGTCAGATGTGACTTGACCAGCAGTGGGAGAGAGATGCTACAGAATTTGCATCTTACTTGATCCTGGTTATCTTGTGACTAAGAATAGGGGAAAGCATGAGGGAAGAGGTGGCCATTCTGACTAGCTGAGAGCACTGGGGTGGAGCCTGTCTTTTCTGGAATAGCTTAGCAGCGGTACTTCAAATAAGGTGACATGATGGATTCTGCACCTGACTTACTGTGTAGAAACCGTGTCACAGGCCCAGAACTTCACCTACCTTTAAGCTGTTTCCGGAATTTGGCAAGGTCATTTGTCCATCGCAGAACCTCAGTATTGGCTGCTTTGTCACTGTGGGAAGGCTGCGAAAAGCAAGTCTAGAGTAAATGTGTGTGAACTGGGGTAGGAAGAGAAATGTTTAATTATCATCTTCATTTTAAACAGAAAGAAAAAGTTTAGTCTTTTAACATTTTTTTTTGTTTGTTTTACAATTTCCTAAGTGTAATTCTAATCCTAGGGTGGTGAAAACAGGTAAGCACTTGACTACTAATTGAAAAGTTGGTGGTTTGAACCCACCCAGTGTTAAGACCTGGTGATTTGCTTCTGAAAGCTCAGAACCTTGAAAACCTCATGGACCAGCCCAACCGGGCACACATGGGCCACCATGAGTCAACATTATCGACTGGACATTGTTCTTAAGTACCATCAAGTCAATTCCAACCCATAGCGAACCTGTATAGGGTTTCCAAGGAGCAGCTGATGAGTTTGAACCACTGACCTTGCAGTTCAAATGACTTTACAGTCTGATGCATTAGCCCACAGTGGATGGCAAGTAACAAATACCAAATACCACTTTATAGCCAGTTAGCTTTTAAAGAATGGCTAAGATACAAAATGCTGGGTTTTACGACCAGCAACTTTCTCAGTTTGTTGAACTTAAAAGGCCAACTGAGTAGAAAGCAGAGGGATATATTTTACACTGCAATCACACTGGTCTTTTTGCCATTCTCCCAAGGAATATGAAGGATAGAGCTGGGGGTAGAATGAAGTCAGTACTATTGAAATTTTAGAAGATAATCTTGAACTAAGTTTTAACCCAACAAGACTTTATCCAACAAAATTTCCCATTCCTGCTCACTGAAAAATTTACAAAACATAAACTCAAAGTCTTAATTTATCTGTGAGGATTAACTCACAGAAGAAACACGCTGATTTATTTATTAGGATTTATCACTGTTTACTCCCCAGTTTTTATGGGCTTTTTGTTTTGAAATTCCCTAGTGATCTGCCTTACCCTGGTGACCTTTCTAACTTCTCTGTATTGTTGACATACCCGTGTGTCAGGAGTGGGAAGGGATGAGAGAACCCTGTGGAGAAGGGACTTACTCTGTACTTCCTCTCTTCTTCAAATCGATCTTCAAACTTTCGGATCTTCTTTTTCAGGCTCTGAATCCTCCGTGTGAGCTGGGCAGGTGTCAGGTCCTCTTGCTCATCGTTGTAGGAACCCAGAGAGGAGCTCCTTTGCCTGTGAGGGGTGTGATTCGAGTCAATTTCCCTACAAGCAGTGACTGCCACCTGAAATAGACTTTGTACGTTGGTGGAGGATATGGTATGCCATGTAGTAGGGGAGAGAGGCATTAGAATTGTCTCCATCCTCTTAAATAGGAGAAAGTTGACCACTAATTTGTGAAATTGTAATTTTCAAATTTAGAATTAGTTATTTGACTTTGAACTCTGCATTTCCCACCTATTAAACAAAACTAGCTTTCTGTTGCTCACAATTACAACTAGCAAAGGTATGATATGTCATTCTGAAATGAGGTCCAAAAGTTAACTCTGAGAGAGCCTTAGAAAGAGGAAATTATGTGTGATGTTTCTGTTAGGTACAGTTCAACACAACCTGTGAACTAGGATGGAGAACGTTCCTCCAGAGATTGTCATCTTAATTTTTACCAAAATTACAAGTTATGGCACCATTCCTATTCTTTCTAATATGGTATGGTGATGCTTTCTTGGAAACATAAAGAAACGTACCTCATGAAAGAATGAGAATTGGGGGGAGAAGGAGGCACTTCTGTGTCATCCAGGTATTGCCTACTCTGGCCATAAGCATAGAACCGTGGAGAGAGCATGGGGTCGCTGTCTTCCTCCAGGAGCTGACTAATCAGGCGCCCCGCCTGCGGGGAGAGGTGGGCTTCCTCAGAGTTGCTGTTCTCCCGCTGCCAAGCCGAGAAAGTAGGGACAGGCTCTAGAAAACAAGAACAGCTTACAGGTGAAAATTGTTCATTAGAACCCAATTGTTTCCCAAGTTTTCTGAAAGTTTTCTGAATGATTCTTCATTTTAGATTTCTGGTCCAGGCCAGGAACACTGTGCTCTGACCCAAATCACCAGTATATCTGACAGTCTTCATCTATCTATCTCTCCTCATACTCACTTGCTTCAGGAGAGAAGTTGTGAGGGCTGCCCTGAGGAACAGCCTCATAGGAGAAAAGCTAAAAGACTTGCTTCTGACTCCCCAAGCAGGGTGGGAAAATATTTTTTTCATGGGGGCCAATACTGGAAAGAAAAGTAAAGTGAGGTGGTTGTTGTTAAGTTTATTGAGTCAGTTCTGACCCATAGCAACCCTGCACAGGGTTTCCGAGGCTGTAAATCTTTATGGGAGCAAAAACCTCATCTTTCTCCCATGGAGCAGCTAGTAGTTTTGAACTGCTGACCTTGCAGTTTGCAGCCCAATTTGTAACCACTATGCTACCAGAGCTCCTTAAAATGAGTTAAGGAAGGAGATATATATACCATTACTGCTACACATCCTGTGTTGAAATGGTATTAACCTTGTGAGTGCCTGTTTCTTTGGGAGTTTACAGTGTCTGCTTAGATCATTCTGTGAGCTGTTCTGGGAGCTTCTGCTTAGTACCTTGGGATTAGCACATTTACGATGCACACTTTGCACTCATAAGGAGAATTTGCTCAGAGCTATAGTCAAAATAATATGAGTCTATAAATTAGTCAGGAAAATGAAAAAAAAAAAATACAAGGCTTACATTACAAATTGTTTTAGATAATCTTTAAATAATAAAACATACTCAGTACAAAATCCTGATGTGTTATTTTAGAGGAGAATAGGCTATTTGGACTTCTGGTGTGGTGCTATGGATCAGCACTGGAGTGTGAATCACATGTTGGCAGTTGAAACCCACCGGCTGTTCCTCGGAAACCCTATTGTTATTGTTAAGTGCTGTCGAGTCAATTCCAACCCATAGCAGCCCTGTATAGGGATTCCAAGGACAAGCTGGTGAGCTTTGACCACTGACCTTGCAGTTCAAATGACTTTGCATTCTGGCGCATTAACCCTATACAGGGTCGTTATTAGTCAGAAGTGACTCGACAGCACTTAACTACAACAACAGGGTAATATTATGGAGTCCTGATGTGGCACTGTAGGGTGATGCACTGGACTGCAAGGTCAGTTTGAACCGCAAGGTTGGTGGCTCAAACCCAACAGCCACTCCTTGGAAAACGTATACAGGGTCACTATGGGTCAGAACCAACTCAACGGCACTTAACAGCAACAACAAGGGTAATATTTATTTGAATTTACTATAAGACCCATTTCAATATATTCCTTTTCTAATAAAAAGAATTTAATGCTAGATCTCAAATGATACAGGGGATATCATTCGTAATTCCTTCAGCATAAAATAAATGCTATACTTCAAATTCACTTGCATTGCCATGATTTACACCAGGGTGGAAACTGAGCAAAATAATCCCTGGTGGAGCTATGTGTGAAGCATTGGGCTAACCACAAGGTTAGGGGTTCAAACCCACTAGCCACTACATGGGAGAAAGATGACACTGTGTGCTCTGATTTAGTCTTGGAAACCCTATTCGCTGAGTTGGGGTGGATTCAGTGGCAGTGGGTGGACAGTTTAGTCATGATCTTCAATTCTGGAACTTCTAGTTTGAATCATAGAACTGTTGTTCCTTCAGCCATCAAGCTATTTATAATTTTACAAAATTATCTTCAGTGCTTACTCACATTTTTATATAAAAGACCATATTACAATGCAGACCATTTAGAGCAAGCGAATCTTGATAGCTCATCAAATGTCTGATTTTCAGCCCTGGCTGCATAAGAATCATGCAGGAGGACTTAAATAACTACAAATACACAGCTACTCAGCCCACCCAATCAAACAGGATATTTAGGTAAGGACACAGATATACAAAAGACACACATATAAACACACATTTAAAAAAGCTGCCCAGGAGACTTTAATATGCAAACAGGTCTGAGAACCACTGAACACTTTTGTTCCCAGATAATCCAGCAGATTATTGATAAGGACAATAAAACCCCCACAGTGCAGAGATTTGTCTAAGACTAAATACCTAATCAATGACAACAGCTGGGACTGGAAATGAAGTCTCCAGATTTCTTGTCAATGCTTCAATTCAATGTTCTAAGTGCTGCAAAACCAATGCCTGTAAGAACTGTTTTGAAGATGCCCACAGCGTAGTGGGAGAAATCAGCACTTACAGTTAAAAAGATCAAACTCATGTAGTGTGAGGCCCACAGATTTTTAAATCTTAAAGAAAGCCAAGCTTATCTGGGAACAAAGAGGATGACATAAATATTTATAAAACTGAAAGCAGTGCAAAAACCATATTCTTATAAATTGACACTTAAAATTGACAAATGAATGTGTTGACAGTCCTGGTGTGGGGCTGCAGGATAAGCACTCAACTATAAAGTCAGTTTGAATCGCAAGATCGGCAGTTCAAATTCACCAGCCACTCCTCAGAAACCTTATATAGGGTTGCTATGAGTCAGAACCCATTCGATGGCCCTTAACAAAAACAATGGTGTAGTTGGAAAAATAAGTACTTACAGTTAAAAAGATCAAACTTATGTGGAATGAGGGCCACAGATTTTTAAATTTGAAAGACAACCAAGTCCTCTGGGAACAAAGACGATGATATAAATATTTAGAAAGCTGAAAGCAGTGCAAAAAAACAAATTTTTATAAATCGAGACTCAAAAAGTGACAAGGGAATGTGTTGGTAGATATATTAGTATTTAGCCAAAACTGGAGATAAACAAGAGCGGTTTCATCATTTGTACTAACACTGTTGGCCTGCTCCTCCTAAGTAGCAGGGTTCAGACATGAGCAACTCAGAACTGCAAACAAAGAGGAGTTAAAAATGGTTTGAGAGGTGAAGGGAGAGTGAGTACAAAGTAATCCCTAGAGATTTAAAAAAAAAAAAAAAGATTAGTGTTAAATTTCAGAAGGTGCAATGCAAAAACTGACAACATTGTACCTCCTGTCTCATGATATGAGTCTTAATAAATATTTTCTATAGGACTAATGCCAATCTAGCCAGGACAGGAAAGGAATTAAGATGGCTTGAACAGAATGGCAAAGACTCAAAACCACCAGGGGGAAGGGCAAGAAAGTTTACTGGGGACAGAGGGCACCAGGAAAACAAAATCTGATGTTGATATTGGCATACTGGGTATGCTGGCTAGTTTGACATTTCTGCTCATCAAAACCTCGTTTAAAAAGATGTTACTTTAATCTTGAAACTTCTAAATTTGCCTGAATTTAAAAGAATCTCTTTTTAAAATGACCCAACTAATTTCTGATTCAAGTTCTCAACCATGTGGTGTGTGTACAGAAAAATGTTGCAAAAACAGTTTTGTGTGTGCCTACGCCCACTAAGCAAAGATTGCAATTAGCTGTAAAATACTAATCAATACTAATCACTGAATTACGGTGGTGTGGTGCTTTGTGGCTAACTTGAGAGCATCTGTAGGTTTTCCACACTGTTAACATAACTATACTTTGTATTTTCTTGAACGAGCACTTACTTCATTGACAGGAAAACCCAAATGTGTTGTGTTCTAGTATCACCAGTGAGATGTATGCAGTGCAGAGCTGAATGCTTTCTAGATAATACATGATGTTTTCTCTTGAAGCATATTTTAAAATGAGCAATGTGAAACCATCAAGGACTTCAATATAAGCAAAATGAAAAGGAATCTATACATAGAACAGATAGGAAAAGTCTCTCTCCTCTTCAACATGACATGCTTATATGATTTTTCCTTTTTCTGTCTTTCCTCCTATTCTATACAGTCTATCACTGAAGGCTATCCTGAGGAGTTGTAAAATTGTATGTAACCTGTTGTTCAATATTACTGAACAATCAATAAACTCACTGCCAGTTGTAGTTTGAAATGATCTCATAATATAAGGCTATCTCATGTTTTGGCACTCAACTAGAAAAACAAGAAAGAACAAAAAATAAAAACAGACAATATGACACATGCCAGTATGTCCAAGTGCATTACCTGCAAAGAGAGCCAGTTTGTGAATTCATGGCATTTAGTGTATCCACTACCCATTCCCAATGGCTGGTTTGGGAAATCTTTTCTATTGTAACCAGTAATTCTAGAGCAATGCAATAGACAATTGCTATTGCAAGAAATTTAATCAAAAGGAAAAGAGAAACTTGAAGTTCCAAAATGTATTTTCATTTGAAAGCACCACACAAAATAAATGGGTTTTCATCCCTAGACTAGAATTCCACGGGTACAGCAATTTTGACTTCAGCCATGTGTCTTATCACTAATAACTCGTGTGCATGGCAATACTTCCTATTAACAATTGATCCACCCAGGCCATCTGACATCACAGCAAGTGAGGAACAACAGATAAAAACGGTATGTTTGCTACCTAAGTAATAAAGAACAGGTCTTGGGTGAGTGCCAGTTCACACACTAGAGTACATGCGGAGATAAAGGAAATTCACTATAGGAAAGGGGAGTGTAACTGAGCAATGCTAATGTGGTCACTGGGACTTAGCTGTTCTGTACTTAGCTGGCTGTGTCCATTTACTATAGAAACGAAAATTGGCTACTCAGATGATTGATTTCTAAGGAATCTGCACAAAATTCACAGAGCTGAAGTTTTCCACATTTCATTTCCAACTACATACTATTTAGAGCCATTACTACTTGGCATGATGTCATAACCATCTTTCAAGGACGCCGTTCAGGAGAAGTAGGAGATATTTGTGCATCGATACAGAAAGATGTTTAAGTCTCAGGGGGAAGGGTCTTTACTGAGGGAGAAAAACAGGGGAACCTTAGTGCTCCTTTAACCTCAAAACAATGTAGACCTAGTAAGTTATTCAAGTAGTCACGCAAGCAAACAGAGTTAGCAGCCAGCTTTATTAATCAACCAAGAATCAAACTCTTACATTTCATATATCTGCTTTGCACCTTTGCGCAAATTTAATAAGCAGTCCTTCAATATCTTCATTTAAGTCATTAATAAATGTGTAGAACTAGATCGGGCTGAAGATCTTATCTAATCATAATATCCCTTTGGCTGCTGCCGTTGTTAAGTGCTGTTGAGTAGGTTCTGATGCATAGTGATCCTTTATAGGATTTCTGAGGAGCGGCTGGTGAGCTTGAACCTCTGACCTTCTAGTTCAAACTGACTTTGCAGTCCAGCACATTAACTCACAGTGCCATACCAGGACCCCTTTGTTGTTGTTGTTATTGTGCCGTGGAGTCGGTTCTGACTCTTAGCGACCCTGTACAGGGTTTCCGAGGCTGTAAATCTTTACGGGAGCAGAAAGCCTCATCTTTTTCCTGCAAAACAGCTGGTAGTTTCAAACTGCTGACCCTGAGGTTTGAGTGCAAAGGGAAGATCTAATTCATTCTCCTACTTAACTGTCTTCTATTCCTTCTACATCTCTGTGAAGCCTATTAAGTCAATGTCAAAGGCCCACATCAATGAGACAGAATGAACTATGGGGTGGGGCTGGGGAACAAATATCCAACTCCAGAGAAGACAGAAACCACATGGTAGCTTAGACTCTAGTGATGATGGATGGATAATGACTCATATGGGTTTTAGTAACAACGACTTCCATCTGTGTATCTTGCTGCATTTGGTTCACATACACAGCTTAAATCAGTGCAGTTTATTCCTTACTGAAAAGTCACCATTTTGTCTGTTTCTTACTGAAGCTATTAAAAAATAAATAAATAAATTTTTTTAAGTGATAGTACTTACTACTTTCATTTAACTCCTCTTTATGTCAAAAACAACAACAAAAACACCCTTTATATACTTAAAGCTCTCCTACTTTAAAAATATACCTTGGAAAAAGTGAAAATAAATATATAATAAATAGCTAGTAGAAGCAGTAACCAAATGATCAAAACAGATTTTGAAAGGCATCATACATGTAGATTTTTTTAGATACACAGTTCAATGACAAATGCAGTAGCTGGCAAAAAAACAAAACAAAACAAAAAAAAACCCACAAAAACAAACAACCCCCCAAACCAAAAAAGTCAAAGCAAGCTACTTTATAAGTTACTTTTTAAAATGCATTTAAAAATAATCATTTTCAAAGCTATTGAAATGCAATGGGTGCTTCCCCCACCCCAAGAATTTTTTTTTCCCATCTACTTTCCTAAGACAACCTAAAATTGTTGTTTCCTTGATATCATTATTTGTCTAGGAGAACATCTTTACATTAAGTAATAAAATAGTTTTATGGAGACTGTAAAGTGGCTTTCCTGCTCTAGAAATAATCTTCAGCTTATACGAGAGTTAGCCTCCTAAAGCATTCTGGGAGAGATTTTAGATTTATGATAAGCCAAAATAAAAATAATCAACCTGAGCTCATTTCAGAGACTCTTTGATTGAAAAAATCAAGATCATGTGGGTAATTTGGATTCTGACTAAGAAAATCTTGATTTTTATGTGGATCTTTATGTTAGCTGGAGCCTTGGTAGTGCTGTGGGTTAGGCGCTGGGCTGCTAATTACATGAGCACACAATAACTTCATAGTCTTGAAACCCAATTATAGCATTTATTTTGGCTACTGATTTTGTCTTATTAGCTGGCTAACAGGGATAACCTGTTTTGTTTTTTGTTTTTTAGATGCATGGTTTAAATGACTGATATAACACATGTGATTATTTCAGAGTACACAAAACAAATTAAGAGCATAAAAGACGCCTCAGCAAAGATTACTCACATTATAAGCAAACAACAAAAACCCTACTTTTTTTTCTGCTCAGTGGATTGTGCGAAGGGAAGATCTGATCAAATTTCAAACGGATTGCCTAATTATATGGAAGGAACTTCGACATATTTCTTAAATTGCAAGAAAGGAAAACAAGAATGAAAAATGTTCTCACTTCACTAAAGCCCTGGATGTGAGGTACACAATGCAGTTACTCTATTTCCCCTTGTGGTTCTTCATTTTATATCATTAACAACCACCACATTCTGTTTTTCTTTTTTTCTTCTTCTGTTGTTGTAAAGAGGAGGGATAGAAGACAAGGAAAATCCAGATGCTGATAAGGACTGTGTTTCATAGTTGTGATTCTTTTAAGTCATTGTGCTAAATCATGCTGATATACAGAATTCAGGAACACAATTTCTCCCTTTGTAGCCTTCAAACACACTATGTGTCACACACACATAGACACACACACACACACTGTATGGTATTCTGGAAAGGCAGACTGACACTGATTTTGGATAATGTATCAATGTATGTTTGGATGTAGACACAAGTATAATAAAAAGACATGTAGGTTGACAACTACTTGATATCTTTCCTGACATAACAGGTTTTTGCCAAGACAAGGTTATCTTCTTCTCCCTCAGAAATAAATTTACAACGCTTTCACCAAAAATCTCTAGAGAAAACAATCTAAAGCACTGTACAGATTTCTGATTTTAATTCCAGGTTCTCTTAGATAAAAGCAAATCTCTAGTGTTTGCTCAATTGGATTTTAAAAAATACCCACCCACGAAAACAAACACAGAAACAAATCAAAACATCTTTCTTGAAAAATTGGACAGGGATTTAATGAAGGAGGTTGATATTTACCATGTAATAGTGGAATAGTTTTAGTTATACTGAAAGAGGAAATCCTAAATTCATACTGGTTTCTTATTACTGTGCTCAGTAATAAAAAAAATAAAAAAATCACAATCCAAACCTACAAACATCAAGTTCATTTTGACTCACAGCGACCCTGTCAGACAGAATAGAACTGCCCTACAGGGTTTATAAGGCTGTAAAATTTTTATGGGGTTTCTCTCCGGTGGAGTGGCTGGGGGTTTGAACCATCAACCTTTTGGTTAGTAGCGTAGTACATTTATCAGATCTCCTATTATTAGTGGGGAAACACACACAAACACACACTCCTGGTAAGTTAACAACAACAAAAAAAGGACTGCAAGGTGACACTTTGATACCAGACAAGCATTTTTTCTCCCTAACATTGCAATTATGCTTGCTGACATTTTACATTACACAGTCCTGTATCAGTTATAAGATTTTCAGTTATTTAGAAATGTGGTTACTTCTGTGCGCATATAGTGTTCACTCTCACTCATGTGCACACACCCCCACATGCCTTTCCTGTACAATCACTTATCGATGCTTTTGCAATATTAAACCATCCAAATATCAGATGACCCTACCTTCCCAGCTCTTCTCATCACACAAAACAGTCAGGTCCAACTGGGGCACTTCGGAGACAAAGCTCTCCTGCTGGTCTTCGGCATCTTGATTCGGAGGCAGTTTGGTGTCAGGTAAGCTGGGATGCTCCTGAATCTTCATTGTGGAGGTCTGCAATGACAGCACAACATCCCCAAATCCTTACTGTTCACCAAAACCTAAATATGTCTGCACTAATTCCACTTCTTGCTGAAAGCTCCCAATCCACAGCTGCCGATGCATTCAGCACAGAAAGCAAAATCATGGCTCTATGCCCCCCGGATCCTAGCTGGCCACTTGCATGCAAAAAGCAACCATCCATCTGCTCTCTTTGAACTTTTCTTCTCTGAGAAAGACAAGATGACTTCCTCTGGGGCTGCTCTTCCAGATAACTGCGGCCAGCTGACAGTCTTGATTAGTACTGATTGGGACAAGGAACGAGGGAAAGGAGTTTGTGTTTCCTTAAAGGAGTATGTCTCTTCAAGCTGTAAACAGTAACAAAAACGGATACTACTGTTGCCAAGGCTGCAGTAGCAACATGGTGTCTTTTGCACGCAGACTTCTTTGCCCCTTAGGTAAACAGTCCTGCAACACCAAGAGCATAGTTGGTGTGTGCGGGCTCACCACCTTTGCTCTCCTGCCAGTCCTGCAGGCTTAGATCAATTCAGCCGGGCTAGCTGCACATTCCCAGGTTTTCCGTGACTGTTTTCTTGCAGAGTGTAGGAAGAGCTGACTATGGAGGAGCTCTGGGTATTAAAACATTGTTGCGCAAATTCAAACAGGAGAGGGCTTTGGCGTCTAATCACAGCTAGCAGTAAGAAGTATGAACTCTGGAAATGAGCCAGAATTACTCAGGGATCATGATTGTTTTTGATTTTTTTTTTCTCTCAAGTAAAAAGCCAAGAGCTGGCAATTCAGTAATGTATAATTTATATCTTACAAATACAAAACTGTCACTTGTTTTTATATTATTCATATACTCTGAATATTAAATATTCAGCTACAACAGGCTTTGCTCATTGGCTGCGCCTTCCTCAGGCTGGACCATCTGGGAGATGGGAGAACCCTGCCCCCAAAGGTGATATTAAGCAATTTTATGTTGTTGTTGTTTTTTAATTTAAAGCATCAAAATAAATTTCTTTACCTTGCTCTCTTGGCATTTTTAAACATAACCATTATCATTTTCCCTCTCAAGAAATTATAAACAGGAGTGCTTTCTTTGAGAGTAGCCAGGAACTTATTTTAGCAAATATATTATCATTAAATGAAAAGAAAAAGGAAAAACATCTGGAAATCATAAGTGGTATTATTAATGTATGAGAAATGGCTTTATGCTGAAAATAAAACACTATTTAAGACTTCCAGCTACTTTTAATAGCTATTCAACCCACTTTAAAATCACCAAGGGAATAGACAAGACTTTTGCTATTACATTTCCATGAATTGATGCATGAAGACCAGTATCTTCTTCACTTTAGAATAAAATGAAATACCGTGAATCAATGATGAGCTACTAAAGTCAGATGGAAATGTCAAGCAAATCTGGGGCTTTAGGTGACTATAAAAATGCTACTTGCCTACTGGGGAAAAAAACTTCATTTATGTCACAAAAATTATTTGTCCCTTCAGCTAAATTGTAAAGTGGGTCAGGGATGACTAACCAAATCTGGTGCTCAATTTTCTAAAAGAGACAGTGTCAATCAGTCACTAGTCTCTAGGTGTATGTATTACAGCATGCACACAGCAAATACATTTCCCTGGTGTGGCGCTGTAGGATAAATACTGGATTGGTAACCACAAGGTTGGTGGTTCAAACCCATTAGTCACTCCTCAGAAACCTAAACAAGGTCACTATGAGTCAGAATCTACTAGGCGGCATTTAACAACAATATAGACATTTAGAGAAATCATAAAAAGAGAAGATACAAAAAACAATTGCCTATTTTATGTATGACATTTTCTGCAGGAGGAACATATATATCAAGTCATTTACGCCATAATACATTGGAAAGGTCATATTTTGCATACAGGGAGACCTGAGGTTGAAGTGTGATCCTGGCATTGACAAGCTTCATGCTCTGATTGAGGGCTTGATGCTCTATTCCCCAGGGCTTCCATTTCCTATTCTATGAAATGGAACAGATGACACCAATTTTGCAAGGTTGTTTGGAAGCTCTGTGTGAACGTATGAAAATCCTATAGAATGGTGCATGGAGCAGAAAAGCACACCAATGAAAGCCATCACTATTTTTACCTTGTTGATGTTGTTGTTAAGTGCCGTCGAGTCGGTTCCGACCCATGAGGCACTATATGAAGATGAGTTAAAGCACTGCCCCCTGTTAAAATCCCTAGAGAGGAGGTGGAGATAATGCACAGAAAAAACTGGAATTGGAAGTCAAATGTACTGTAACAGGAGTGTATAAGGAAACAAGATTGAACAGCAACAAATATTCCCGTCAGTACGAGTCCAAAATGACTTGATGGCACTTAAAAACAAACATGTTCTCATCAAGGAGTCCTGGTGTCACAGTGGTTAAGTTCAAATTCCCCAAACTGCTCTGCAAGACGAAGACCTGACAATCTGATTCTACAGATTTTGTTTATTTGTTGTTGTTGTTGTTAACTACTGCTGAGTTGATCCAATTCATAGTGACCCTGTACAGAGTTTTGAAGACTGGCTAGCTGATTCGAACCTCTGACTTTGAGGTTCAAACCAGTCTTCTGGCCTAGTGTTTATCTTACAGCGCCACATCCAAGGCTGAATGTTTAGACACTGAAAACCATATGAATAGCAGTGGAACATTGTCAAATATAGTGCCAGATGAAAACAGGATGAGGAGCATCAGAACACTGTCAGATACAGTGCCAGAAGATGAGCCCCTTCAGGTTGGAAGGCACTCAAAATACGACTGCCCAAGAGCTGCCTACTCAAAGTACACTTAACTGCGATGAAAGGAATGGAGTAAAGCTTTTGAGACCTTCATTTGTGATGGAGCATAACTCAAAATGAGGAGAACAGCTGTAAAAACATCCTTTAATAATCAGAATGTAAAATATATGAAGTACAAATACTGGAAAATTGGAGTAATACAAAATCAAATGCAATGCATAAAGACCAAAATCCTACGCATTAGTAAACTGAAATGGACTGCTATTGGTCATTCTGTGTCTGGCAATCACATGGTTTATTATTCTAAGAACAATAAATTGAAGAGGAATGGTGTAACATTCTTCTTCAAAAAGAACATTTCAAGATCTAACTTGAAATTTAATGCTGTCTGTGATAAGCTAATATCCATATGCCTATAAGGAAGACCAGTTAATACAACTATTATTCAAATTTACACACCAAACACTAAAGCCAGTGATGATGGAATTGAAGAAGTCTACCAGCTTCTACAGGCTGAAATTGATCAAACATGCAATCAAGATGTATTGATAATTACTGACACTTGGAATGCAAAGGTTGGAAACAAAGAAGAAGGGTCACAGCAGTCAAAAAAATGTGGACTTGGTGATAGAAATGATGTTGGGGATCACATGATAGAATTTTTTAAGACCAATGACGCATTCATTGCAAATACTTTTAAACAACATAAAATACGACTATACACATGGACTTCACCAGACGGAATACAGACATCAAACTGACTATATCTGTGGGAGAGACAGTGGAAAAGCTCAATATCATCAGTTAAAAAAGGCCAGAGGGTTGGTGACCACATTGGTCTAGAGAAAAGGGGAAGCTGGGGGAAAACAGCAATGAAGCTGAGTCTGACCACGTTTAATAGACACCTGTCAACTGGGAGTAAGACCTGGTTGGCTAGCAGTATGCAAGACCTGGGGACTCCTGAGCCCATGGACAGGGACATAGCCACAGAGGACTACAGCAGAGAGTGAAGCATTCAGCTGATATGAAGTGAGAGGAGATGCACAAGAACACCCACACTTGCAAACAGTACCCATTTGATCTAGCTTCAATGGCTGGATGATCAGAACTTGACTAGAGGAGGAAAGAAGAGGTTAAAAAAAAAAAAAGTGCAATCCACTACAATTTGATGAAGTTGACCTATACTTATGGATGTAGTAGCTTAAAAGAGGGAACACCCTTATAAACTATCACATAATTCACAATAAAACATTTTAAGAAAAAAAAAAAAAAAGAGGGAACGAATTTTTACAGCAAGGATCATTCCCTTCCCCTTGGTACACAGGGTTGACAGGGATGGGCAACTTAGACATTGGCTACCCAAAATGGGGGCGGGGGGGTTACAAATGCATGAAGTGACTGGTTTACAAATTTTCAGGAAAGAGCTTAGTATAAGAGGGTGTGGGGGAAGGTAGAATCTCCCCTGAGTGATTTCCAGCCTGTCTGGACACAGTTGATGAAGGGAGATGGGGATAAGACTCTTATGGTTCAGTAGTGAATAATAGGTGTTAGGACTGATTGCGATGGTTGCAAATGTGAAGATAGACATTTTGTAACAAGAGGAGGGGAATGGTTGATCTTGCAGTCCAGGAGCAGAATACCCTGGGACCATCAAAGGAGAAGAGCGGAGTGTGGGACCGTATCCAGTGAAGCAGTGATGCCAGAGATGGAGGCAGAGATGATGACATGGAGAGATGGAGTGACTGGGGACTCGAGACTCAAGGAGGGAGAGGGGCTGTGTGTTGGCAACTGGGGGTTGGGCTTGCAGGATATGCCCTTTGGTAGTTTGAATGGTTATATATTCCTCAGTGCTTCGGAGTACATCCAAAAACAAAAACAAAGGAAATGGAAGCAAATGCTGTTGAATGATAATGAATGGAGGGGATTGTAGTCATTGCAATGAAATGAAATACAATAGGATGGATGTAAAGCTATTGTTCTCCCATGTAAGCTAACACTCAATGAACAATAATAACAACAACAACAACAAAAAGCAAGAGGCAGACTGTGGAACGAATCATCAATTGCTCATATGCAAGTTCAGGTTGAAGCTGAAGAAAAGTAAGACAAATCCACAGGAGCTAAAATATGATCATGAATTTGGAGAACATTACAAAAACAGATTTGATACATTAGATAATAATAACTAAAGACCAGATGAATGGTGGGACAACATCAAAAACATCAAAAAACTTGAAAGCCA